CAATAATCAATACACATTAGTTTCGCAAAACATGATAGTTCATCATTATAAACATGAGACCAAAATAAATAGTTTATAGTATGCCAAGTTCACACATGTTTCAAAAATAATTTGATTCCATTGATAATATAATAATTTATCAAAACAGTTTAGTTATGAAAACAACAATTTAATTTCTCAACAGTTCAGGGTAGGGAAATATTTATAAAAATATGTTGCATGAAACTATTCACCTGGAAACGAAATAATGTAATCCTCGAATAGAGTATAAAAGTCCAACTAGTGCCCTGAACCAAATATAAAAGCTACACGTCATTACTAATTTAAAAATACTAAAGAATAGGAACTAAGCAACCTCAACTAAAGCGCACTAACACGGCTCAACCCAACTCACCGTTACTCTTAAATATTACCTATATTCATGTTTTTCAAGGTCTAAAATATCAATATAAGCCACGTCTGAACTTTGATTTCTGTTTGTAAACAAAAGCTAAATACAAAATCTAAACACAATGTTTGTGAATAGAATTTTAATTCTAAACACAAAATCTAAACACAAAGTTTGTGAACCAAAAATGGGAATTTTTTCCCTTAGGCAGATGGTTCAACCTAAGAACAAAATCTAAACACAATTTTGTCCTTTAGAAATCTGAAGAACTCTACCTAAGCACGTGGAAGAGTGTGTTCTACTCATTTTTCTGAATATAAATGCATCAACTCATGGTAATACCATTTCATTTATCAAAAATATAAGATCTGATTATATACCCAAGACATGGGTTCCGGTCGAAACTTAATTAAATGTGACTTTGAGATAAAATAGAATTTTTTATAGGTTTTCCCGAACTGTTCACTAACTCAGAAAATTAAAAACCCACTCTACACCATTTGAAAAATTCCAAAACCCTCCAGATATCAAATAATATATCCTAAGTTTCAAACCCAATTGGTTTTACTTGATTTGCTTATCAAAATAATTATTTACAATTAATTATGCTCAAACAGATTGTTTTATGCAGCACTTTAAATAAATTAATGGTTCTCTTAGTATACAGGAGCAATCAATGCAAGGCCAAAAATTTAAGAAACTAGACTCGTAACCGGTTCTAATGACGCTTATTTGATAATTTTTGGATTTATACCCAAAGAGAACAACACTCCCGAATTTGCTGTTTAAACCAGTTTTCTGGAAAAATTTGAACGCACCAGTTTATATGGATTTTGACTCCCAAAAATTATGAAAAAATTCAGATATGCAATTCAATATGTAATTGATCTACTGTAAAAATTTCAGTTCAAAATTCATTCGTTTGATATAGTTTCATGATTTTTAAAGTTTTCTAGCAGATTAATATTCTTAAGAGCAATATTATGAATTCAATTAAAATTTCTAGAATACTATCCCAATTAGCCAATCCATTCCTTTTTCTTCCACCAACTCACAACATCCACAAGCACCATAACTATGTAAACAACATATTATAATAGAACAAGAATAGATTGATTAATACCTTAGAGAGTTGTTGAGACACAAGGGTGGTTTTTCTCCCTCTCTCTTTTTTATCTCTTGCTCTCTCTTCCTCTCTCACGTTTCTACTACTGCTGCTATAGTGTTGATTAGGAACCTAGGGTTGTTATATATATATATATAAACAAAACTCTAAATAATTATCCTTTATTTTATATTATTTTTTTCTCTCCATTAATTTAAATAAAATTCAAATATTATTAGATCAACATATGCTTACTAATTTGACACTTATTTATTTATTTATTTATAAATAATAAATTTTACTTCTAAATTAAAGACATTCACCATAAATTTATTTTAGGTCTTAAAATTAGTTAAACGACCCTCCAATAATATTTAATTTGCACTTAAAGATTCACAATAAAATATTTGAGATTATAATATTATTATTATTTAATTATTTACTAAATCTTTATATTTGGGTTCTTACAGAATTGACATGCCAATAATACAAGATGAATATAAATACTTTTATTCCAATTCATCATTCAAGGAATAATACAATTCTCTCTTCTCAAGTATCCTCAACAATTAGTCATTTCAAGACTATTTCAACGTTTTGAACAATAATTTCTAAAATGAACAATAATTTTCATATTCCTTGAAATTCATCATTTATATAAATATAAATAAGAAATTTTCCAAACATCTATTTATTTTGACACACAAAATAAATATAACAATATCATTCATGGATTTTCAGTCTCTTAAAAAAAATCTCCAAATTCTAGGTTTTCTCACCAAAACTATACAACTCAAATATTTTAAAAGAAAACTTTTCAAAATCATCTTTTCTTCAATCAACGAAGATCAAAACCCATAAGATTATTTTAAAAGAACAAGAGACAAACCCACTTTTCAAAATCGCTCAACTTCTTGAATCAACAATCAATTTTCAAAGCTATCGAAAGATGATTTCGACAATCATATAGATCTTACAAAAACATATATATAACTTTAAGAAAATCCCTACCTCAAGTTTTGAAGAAGAAGTTAGATGAAATCCCAAAAATCAACGGTGTCGAAACTCGATCTTCACCGCATACAACAAAGCCCTCGAGAAGTTACACAACTTTGATGAAGAACTTCGGTCTAACTCCCAATGGATTTGGAGGAATCAAAGAGAGAAGATGACTTCTAGAGAAAGAAGCTCTAGATTTGAAAATTTTGGAAAGTTTTAGAGAGAGAGAGAGAACTGAAAAAGTGATTTGAAATCTCCCTTTACGGACTGATATAACATGGCTGCTCGAGCGTGAAATAACTATTCCCGTAAGCAATTTCAAATGTATTTTGCATTTTTGCTTTCGGCGAGTTGACCGGGCAGCTCAATTCCCGTAAGTTGACCGGGTCAAAATTGGGATCAGTACAGTACATTTCATTAAGCTCAAAAAATGTGCCAATTGTTTGTACAAAGGCTTGACACATATCTACTCTCAAATTATCAAGTGAATATAGATGAAATCAAATAACTCAACTTTGATGGCTAACAAATATTAGAAGCTCGATCATTGAAGCCTAATAATTATTAATTAATTGAATTTAGCAATTGAAAGATTTCAAACCACATCTCTTTGTCTTTTCAAATGTTTCATTTTTTTTGGTTCATGCATTCATTTTAATATTGATAGAGAATTGGACGTGTGGAAGAGTGAGAGACATTAAAATTATATATTGAGTTATGTAATTGTTGTGATAAAAATAAAGGTTGTCTTTCCCTTTTATAGCGATTTATTTGGTTATACCTCCAATTAAAACTTCAGGTGTGCTTCTACATCATCATTGAACGTTACTTTTATTTTTTTTTTATATACTTTGTCTTACGATTATTTGTGTTTTATGCTATGAAACTTATTATATTTGTGTTTCCTAAAGCTATTAGATAAACCTAATGCAAGAAGTGCAGACTATTTCAATGTTATTCTCAAGATTACAAGTACAAAAAATGTACACAAAGGGTGCGTTTGATTCAAGGGATTAGGGGGAGGGGGGGAACTCTATTTGGATTGTAATCCATTGAAAGCTCTTTATCTGGTGTTTATTTATTTTTTAGTTTGCTGAACATGAAGTCCGGCCGGACTCCTTATCTCCCATTTGTGGGATTACACTGTCCCGGGAGGGATATGTGGGACAATTTTCATGGGATAATAATCCCATGGGATTAAGTGGGGAAATGACCATTTTGACCATTTACTATTTAATTATGTATTATATTTAATAAAATTGAATAAAATTTAAATGTCTCAATTTAAAAATAAAATAATTTTATTTAACTTTTTATTGATGTATTATTTATTTAATTTATTTATTTTTTTTATAGATATTTTATTGATGTTTTATTTTAAAATTTTGTTTATATTTTATTTAATTTCATTATTTAAATTTAATAGATGTTTTATTTAATTTCATTATTTAATTATTATTATTTTTTAAAATAAATTTATTTATTATTTGTGAGTCCTACTTCTTGAAAATCCTATAATTCATTTATTTTTTTTGTATTATATTTTATATTTAGTTTATGTACTTTTTTTTATATAATTTTCTTTAAAATTTTATTTTTAAAAATTAATAAATAAATAAGTAAATCATTTTCTATTTCAAATAAATTTATATTTGTTTTTCTTAAAGTAGTTTTAGTTTTGGGCAATTACTTAATTTTTTTTTCTATATATGGTAATTTTGTGTATTTTAAGTGTATCATATTTTCATTAATACACTCGGAAATACACTATAAAAGAAGTATCATGTGAAAATCAAGTAAGAAAAAAAAATAAAATAAAACAATACGATAAATGTGATGTAAAGATCAAAGATCAAAACTTCCAAAGCAAGCAAGCAAACAAATAGGCAAGTACAATAGAATGTTTAATAATAGACATTTGAAAATTTGTAACAAAATTTTGTAACTTTTCTTTTTACTAAGAAAATTCTATTTTGTACTAGCTAAATAAAATGTTTTTAAAATAGTTTTTTTTTTTAAAAAAATTTGAAATTAAAATTATAGTAAATTTATATAAGCATAATTGCTAATCACATCTTTTTACTTAACGCATAATATTATATTGACTACCTTTCTTAAGTTTATTTTTTTAAAGTATTTATATAGAAGTAAAAGAAATGTCGTTAGGAATAAATTTTTTCATAATTTAATTATAAATTTTTTCCCGTATATTACTTTTAAATTTTGAATAAAAATAAATATAAAATAATTGATTAAAAATACGTTGTATTTATTATATTTCTTTTTTTTTTGTACAAAAAAAAATAAAAAACAAAAGAAGATATTTAAAAATTATAATATACATATATAAATAATTATACACACAAACAATCTGTACATAACACGGCCAAAACACTAATAATATAATACGAGTAATAAATAAACAAATAATATTTGTTTATATTACCCAAATTATTCTCTATCACCGACAAGTTTTCTAAATTTTGCAGTCCGTGAGTGTTGTGTTTTTACACTAGTACTTCACGCTCTCTCTCTCTCTCTCTCTCTCGATATACATATGTCATGTAATAATGAGTCCATAATATCCAAATTGCTCCATCCGCCCCACTTTGTTCTTCCGACATTGCACAGAGGGAACGCCCCAGACTTGTTTCTCTTTCTTCTCAGGTCAGTTCGTTCGTTCTCTAGTCTAGTAGTAAGTACATAACAAGGTAGGTTGTGGTTTTTACTTTTCTGTGACTCTTCTCTTCTAATCACTGCTCTGCTTGCTTATCCACTTTGTACCTACGTTCTCTCTCTCTCTCTCTCTCTCTCTCTCTCTGTGTGTGTATCTATGTATGTATTCTTCAGCATTTCATTTTCCGTCCCAAATTTTCTTTTCTTTGCTAGGAAAGAATTTTGGATGACAAGGAAGGAAAAACGCACCTTTAACTTTCCCACTATATATATTTGTATTTGGTTGAATTGTGCAGAGGCTGCATTTTTTTTTTTTTCATTTTATTTCTCTTCTGATCTCTCAGTATTGGACTATTTCCATATATATTTTATTTCCCCACATTTTCTCAGCTAACAAACAAAAAAAGGGAGCGACATTTCATCCTCGAACGAGATTCCCTTGTAGTTTATAGAGAATGGCTATTGTTTGGATTGTTCTGAATGTTAGTTGTTGAGTAAGCCGGGAATCAATTCCATCAACAACCTACTCACTCATCCAAAATGCAACAACTTAATGCCTTAATGAAAATTAAATTGAAAATAAAAGAAAGAAAGAAGAAGAGGCAAGAAAATGGGAAACTCATAATTTCTTCTTCTGCTCTCTCTCTCTCTCTCTCTTCCCCTGCTAATGTGAATTTTGCTCAATTACCATTTCGAATTTCTCTGCCTTCCTCTTATTATTACGTATATATTCTTTTTCCATTTTGGATATGCAGAATTTTGGGATGGTGAAGTTAGTGGCTCAAAGTCTTCTTCTTGGCCTTTACCTTCAAGTCCTTGCGGTATTTGCTGTTGATGTTCACCGCCTTAACATATGGCCAATGCCCCAATCAGTAAGCAATGGGCATCAAATTCTTCATATGAGTAAGGACTTTGAGCTAATGACTCAAGGAACCAAATATCCTGACGCTTCTGGGATATTGAAGGATGGATTCTCTAGATTACTTGATGTTGTCCAAGCTGCTCATGTTGTTGATGGCAACTTTTCCCATTTCGACCAATCTGTCCTGCTTCAGGGAATTCATGTGGTTATTTTTTCACTCAATGATGAGGTCTGTTCTGTTTAATGATTGCATCATTTCTTTCTTCTTACTTACTTCTCTTGATTCACGCTGGGTTAAAATGGTTTTACCTTGCTGAATTGTATGTATTATTATACTTCTTGTAAATGTTTGCTTGGTCTTCTCTTTTTCGCTTCAAGAGATCAATTTATGTGTGGAAATCTTACATTATGAAATTTTCAAAGCAAAATCATTGTTTGTCTTTTCTGAATCTCCTTAATAACATATGCGTGGAGATTGGTATTCTTCTGCATTCTTCTTCTTTATTTATTTATTTTTCAAGATGAAGTTCAATATTATTACAATAATTAAAATCACTGGTGTAATTGTTGTTACTTGTTCAAATAAAATCAGAGTAACTATGATACTGCATGTGACAAAAATATTTCCCCTTATTATATGGTTGAATTGTGACAAATGTCTATATGTATTTACTTTTCTTATAAAAAAAAATTATTGAGAAAATACTCCCTTGGGGGATGCTGCTATGTAAGTATGAAAGAAATCAATTACTCCAATGTGTTAGCAAAGTTCAAAGAACTACCAGAGAAGGATAGACATTTCTCATGACCATGCTGCAATAATAGACATGACAACCTACTCTTGACCAACTTTCAGTCTCCAACTATGAAATAACTAAAAGTGATATGAGGTTTGGCGTTGATGGCGAACATATTCAACACAAAAGCCACACCAATCCTAGCACATCCTAAATTTTGTATTTGAAATCTAAGGTGTGACTCAGAGTTAAGGGTTTAGATTTGTTTAGGTTTTAAATGAGTTAAAAATAGTGAGATATTCTGTTGCAAGTTTCTGTTAGTTGTGGCCTGATATAAAGTAGTGTAACCAGTTAACTTATTTAAAGCCACATTTGGCATTCAAGGTCTTAATAATAGAAATTGAATAGGGTAAATTACACTTTATCCCTTTTATGTTTAGTCACTTTGCCACTTTGGCCCTTAAAGTTTATTTCTGTAAATTACATTACCAGTCACATGGCATAAAAATATTTTATTATATTATATATAATTCACATTTCTAATATAATCTTGAACTCCAATATAATCATATATTTTTTATGTTATGTGATAGTTATTATGGCATTTCTGTCTAGGTTTGAACATAAATTAGCTTTAGGAGTAAACTGGAAAAAATTTGAAACATAAAGGACTAAAGTGGGAAAAAATATACTTTAAGGGCCAAAGTGGGAAAGTGATCAAACATAAAGGGGCAAAGTAATTTACCCCAAATTGAAAATTTGCAAGCAATTGCTTTAGATTCGAAAAGAAATGTTTATTACATAATCATAATACAAGTGTATTAAAGTAGCTCACAACACGATTCCTTTTCTCCCTTCTCAAACCCTATTATATTAACCAAAGAGAGAGTTTTGTCATGTAGGTACATCACACTTGAGTACTCAATAACAACTCATAACTTTATAATAACAATATGAACAAGGCAAAAAATCTTCATATCCCCCTTACTTTGGCTCTTCCAATGGTTTAGCTGAAAATATAATACAATAATAGAGTAACTAATTAACTTTGTAGATAGATTCACAATTTCTAACCAATCTTGCAAACTTGTCCAAGAATTTATCAACATAGCATTTAAACCTACATAATAAGTCAACAACATGAAATATAATGCTCTTTCAGGGGCTCTCACCTAGGAACCATGCCCCTTATTAGCACATCCTTTTAAGGCTTCTCATCCAGGGACCATGCCCCTATTCATGCTATTCAACTTCATTAAATCAAAGTGTAAATTATGATAGAAGTCCCTGTACTTTGATCCTTGTGTCATTTTAGTCCCTATAATTTCAATTGGCTTGGTTTTGATCCTAAATTTATGATTTTGTCTCAATTTGGTCAAATTGATTACAACTCTTAATAATTTTTTTATGAAAAATATGCACATAAGTGGCACGTATTATATTTTTAAGGACAAAATTATAAACTTACTCAGCTCTGTGAGTTAACCTCAACCAATTTGGTGATCATTTTTTGTCAGAAATATTGGCAACATTATCAATTGGATCAATTTGACACAAAATCTAAAATTAAGGGTCAATATTGAGCCAATTGAAAGTGTAGGGACCGAAATGACATAAGGGGGACACTATGACTGTCTACCATAACGACAAAAACATTGCATCAATTCATTCCATAGATATCATAATTAACAAGAGTTGCACCTTAAATACTTATCACATACAACCAATTAAACACAACAGATGTAGTTGAGAATTATGAATTTCCCTACCTAAAGCCAGTACAAATCAAGTGTAGTGAATTTCCCTTAGTTGTTTTTTCCCTTTTTCTTTTTGTTGTTTTCTTTCTCACAAACAAACAATAGAGGATTCTGCACAAGCAACACTCTTATGACTGATATACTCTCTTATGAATTATTGATACAAAAGTACGTATATTGTAACATGTGGCAAACTATCATACAGAGGAGAAGTCCAAAACACAAGCACATAGTGCACACATAAGAGGTGTCAAACTCCCCTCAATCCATGTATAATTCTAACTAGTCAAGATTAGTATTAATTAATCCACTCTTAAATTCTAACTTTGAAGTGTATTCTCAAGATCATGAAGAAAAAATGAAAGGTATTCGTAGATGCTATTGCATTCATTGTCTTAGGAAAAAAGGGTATTAGAACTGAGAAGCATGCAAAAATTGGATCATAATGTTAAAACCTTAATCATTAGGAACTTTTCGAACACGTTCTTCCACCACAAGCACTGCTTCAATTGCAAGAATATCCTATATTGGTTGATGTTGACAAAAGCTTTAAATGCATGGAGACAATAATCTGGATGTATTCCTTGATTAGTTGCATAGCCTAGAAATTTCTTTTGTGTGTGGCATCGGTTGACAGAAGTACTCCTTGATCGGTTCCTTATTCATAGCCTATTCAGATTTACAGTTGAATATATGAGGTGTGATTGTTTTTTCTGGGTTGACAGTTGGCAAAATACTTAAGAGATTTAGTTATTTATTTTGATATGGGTTTAGGGGATACTATTAGATCAATCTTGTCACTTTGTTTGAAAAAAAAAACTTCATTTTTTGTTATTTTCCTCCTTTTTGTTTTTTTTTTTTTTTTTTTGAAAAGAAAAGAAATGACTAGAGTATTTTTTTATTATTATTTATTTTCAAAAGTAACACACTGCTATGGTAGATTGAGAACCAAAGAGTGATTTCCTTAAGAAATGACTAGAGCATTTGATTTTGCCTCAGTTCTTCTAATTCATTCTTAATGAACCTGTAGTTGTCACTGGAAATCCTTATGTACACCATTTCACATCTCTGTAATTTGGTTTCTCTACAAAAGCATAATTCTCTTTCTGAAAAATTATTCTGTGTTGTGCAGTTACAATATGGGATTGATGAATCATACAAGTTATCTATTCCTGCAGCTGGAAATCCGGTTTATGCACATCTTGAGGTGGGTGTGACTATTGCTTATGTTATTCTAAGTTAGTGCCAGGATGGTTTCCACTCAGCATCAATTATATTCTCGACTATTTTGAATTCATTCATTATTAAGTTAGTGCTGCATTCATTCATTATTAAGTTGGTGCTAGGATGGTTTCCACTCAGCATCAATTATATTCTCGACAAGGTTTTAAAAAGCGGCTGCAACCATTACGGCCGCTTTTGCAGTGTGATAGAGATTCACAGGTGTGTCGGCCGTAGCGGCTGCTATAGCAGTCGTAACGGTGCTGTAACAGCCTGTTATGCACCGTTACATAGCGGTTCCGAATTGCTTCTTTCGAAAAAATACAAAAAAAAGAAAAAGAAAAAAAGAAGAAGAAGTTGAAAATGAGGGAAGAAAGATAGAGAGAGAAGAGGGAAGATGGAGGAACAAGAGATAGACAGAGAGAAGAGGGAAGATGAAGAACATGTTATTAATTTGTTGAAACTGTAAGACCTATGCTATTCTATTCAGCTGCTATCACTCAACCATTTTGTTTGTGTGTATCTATCTATATATTGTTTGAAAATAATAATAAACTCAACCATTTTGTTTGTGTGTATCTATCTATATATTGTTTGAAAATAATAATAATAATAATAAGTGTGATCATTATCTATTTGGCTTAATCAAAAAATATATATATATATATTTAGGCTTTTATTTATTCTTACTTTTGTCATTGTTTATCTTATGTCTAATAATTAGTGATTGATTTTTTGTATAATATAAAGTCATTAATTATTAAAATAAAATGTAAAAAACTTAGTTTATAGTGATTTAAAAATATGAAATATATTGGATCAAACTTAAAAATTTATAAAAATTGATCAATATTTATTTTAAAACCCGATAAATATGATCATGGAAAAAAAGTGTGCGTATCGGTAAGTTTTTTTCAAATTGTGTAGAAAAAAAAAAATTCACGGTTCCGGTTACCGCAACCGTTACGCTACGGCCTTTACACCCTGCAACCACGCCACCGCCACCGTTACAGGGACTGCAACCGCTTTTCAGAACCTTGGGACTAGGTTTAACTAATCCGTAATGTTTTTCCATGAAATTTTTGTTTCATTTAGGATTAAGATATTAAAAATTATTTTTTGTGTGCCGCAAAGCATGTTATCAAGATAGGGTGTTATTGAATTTATTAAGGATGTCCTTTTAGTTTAGAAAGATTAAAATATCTTTGCTTGTAAGTTTGTTGAGTTCCTTTGTCCCTTTGGCTTTTGATTTTTGTTCTCTTAAAACATTCCGAACCAAACTGAATGTTGGAATAAAATCTCGGGTTGCCAGTTGAGGACCACTCATAGATCTATTAACAGCACAAAGACATAGCTCATAGTGTCTAAAAGTATATGAGGTGTCAAAATGACTATAGCCTTGGTGTTGTGCCTGGATAGTGTTTGACATGGTTATTGTGGGTTTGTTTGAAATGGCATAAATTGCCAACGAGTTGTGCGCTAAAGAGTTAGCTCATTCACATCTGCAGCTTTTCATCACTTGAGAATCTTTGTTTGACTAAATGCTATATTGTTACAATGCAGGCACAAACAGTTTATGGAGCCTTACATGGGCTGCAGGTTTTATGTTCTTACTAATGACACCTTGTAAAAGTTGCTTGTCTTGATTTTGTGAAAGAAATATTTGCATCTTAGAAAATATGTTTTCACATGAAATCTTGCAGACATTCAGCCAACTTTGCCATTTTAACTTTACTACCACAGTAATTGAAGTTCATCAGGTCCCTTGGAACATTATTGATCAGCCAAGGTTCTCTTATCGAGGGCTCTTAATTGGTGAGATGCTTCTCTTATTTCCCTTGACACATTAAATAACCAGATACGGTATTATGGATATATTCATTTTTTATGGGAGTTGACATTGGATGCCCAATTATTTATGAAGGTTGTTTTTGATATTTTACTTTTAATTTGAGCTGAATTTTAATATCGTCTCTTTCCAATGATGTTGTCTCCTTGGTGTAGTACCATTAGGGGATGAAGAAATAGAGTAAGAAAAGAAGAAATAGTGAATAAGAAGAGAAGAAGAGTAGGAGAAGGAAAAGTGATAAACCCTTGGGTAGAACTTGCCCTTGAAACTGGCTTGCAAGGGAGGGTGCCCAAGAAGCTTATATTCACATGACCTAGCCTATTGTTAAGCTATATGGGATCATAGTATACCACCACGTCTTGCAGTCGACGTTCATGACAACCCACTCTATCGACACTGACCCACTGGTAGACCTTTCTCTTTTGTTGGCTTCACTTACCTATTAGTGTTAAACGTGATAGTATGATACCATAGTTGTCAAATCGGGATTTGAATCGTGAATCAAATTGGTATTGTATCGAATCGCTAATCGAATCGAATCGAATCGTGAATTGTAAATATTTAGTTACCTTTTTAAAATTACATAGAAAAATATATCTACATACTTAGATATTGAACATATCTAATAATTATGAAATATTTAGACTTAAATCAATGAAAATATTGTTTTAAATGATGGTCATGTGGTCTAGGTAAGAAGTTAATACGGGTTCCCATATTTACCAGTTTATATTTTCCCTTGTAGATACTATTTCTTATCAACCATTCTTAATAAAAAAAAGCAAACAAAGGCAAACTTTCAATTTCCAAGTAACAATAATTTAACAACAAAGTTTTTTAACTTTTTACAAGGTTAAAAAATCAAAATCTTTAATTTTTTTTCCTAAAATCTCACTTGATACCTTCAAAAAATTCATTTTGTAAATGCAAGTACTTAGATAAAATTGAATATGTAAGCCTAGAATATTGTAGAGAGATAGAGAGAGAGTTCATTTTTTTCCGCTAAGGTTTGAGTATTTGAGAGTAAATAGGGAGGGAGAAAGTCAAAAGATGGCATATAGTAATCCTAAAGACCTTAAAAAGGTTGTGTGAACCCTTTTCCAACAATAAAAAAGCAAAAAAGAAAGCCAAATATCGATTTTAACGATTCACGATTCACCGATTCGGTTCACCGATGCACCTATGATTCACAACTATTTGCGATTCACACAACCTGTTTGTATCGATTACCTACTAAATCGAATCGAATCGTACGATTCGATTCTAATAATAGAGTATGATACCCATACACAAGACCAGGGTGTCTTAATCCATCCATCCTATTGGTTTCCCCTTCTGTAGTTCGAACAACAAAGACGAAACCCATGTGATCCTATACTCGCACTGGTTGCATTTGATCCTATACTCGACATGGTAGCTGACTTTGATACCTAATGATACAAAGCTTTTGGTAAAACTCACCATTGAAAACCGGCTTGCAAGGGTAGGGTGTTCGTGAGGCTTATATTCACATGACCAAGCCTATTGTTAGGCTATGTGGGATTGTAACAGAAAGAAAAGTGTAAGAAGAAGAATAGACAGAGGGGATAGAATCTGCTAGTGGAAATCACCTTAAGAAGTGGAAGATCCATAAGCTCACGTTCATTGATGAACGTAGAAAAATTCTAGAATTACTCCATAACAATGGGAACTGGAACTTAAAACCTGTTATTGGTCAGATTCCATATAGAATTGTTGAAAGCATCATCTTCTTTCAGAAACCATCTAGGCTCTTCATAGGAAGATTCCTTCTTTCTGTCCTATTGAGAGGATGAACCCTTGGTCGCCTGCACTGTTGGATTAGAAAGATGACCACATCTAGTGTCAAGGTTATTGCAGTGTTCACATAAGTTTGCTTCAATGACTTCAAACAATCTCATAGCATCTTCAAAACTCTCACAAGAGATCTCTCCTCCCCCCCCGTCTTGCTAAATGTGTTTATTCTAACTTATGAATGATAATGCTGCAGATACATCTCGACACTATCAGCCACTTCCAATGATAAAGAAGGTTATTGATTCTATGGCTTACACAAAGTTGGTATGTAATGCATAACATGTGTGGTCTGTTTAATTTTCCAAGTGCTTATGATTAGAAAACCTGTAATACGAATTTGCCACTGTTTATATGATGTGTGGAATGGTTTATATATGTTTAATGACATGAGAATTTTGAGGCATCGCTGCTCATGCTAACAAAATTGGCATTAAGTCTTGCTATGTTGTTTGTATGTATGGGGGATTTTATATCTGTTATTGTTGATGTAGAACATCGGAGGCACAAGGTAGTGACAGAGATTGTTTTTATTCAAGGAAGTTTGGATTTCCATTCAGTTTCACGGCATTCTACAGTATTTTGCCACTGGTTTTGAACTTTTTTTGCTGCAGATCTTATACTTCAAAGAAAGTTGTTCTGCATCCTTTGACATATTGCCTGTGGAAAGAGGTAAACCTATGGACCTAAGGAGAATCATTGACCCACCAGACCATCTATTAGTCAGCCTAGAGTTCATGGAACTTATTATAATCCCTTGTCTGCCCTAATGGTTTAGTGTCTGTAATGGATGCCCAACTTGATCTAGAAACTCAGCTAGTGTGGCCAAATGACCTCCCTTTTTCAATTGAATGGAATGAGCCATGGATATTGGTAGAGTTTTTAATAAACAGAAAGATGGCTTTGTTGGTGGTCCAAATTGGTCACACGCCATGTGGTTGTGAACACATGATATTGTACTGCTAAAGAGAGGGCTATTATTAAGATGGAAAACAAATGCTGGACTGAGACTTGAAGTAGTACCTTTTTGATGGAGGTTAGTGAAGTCTCATGTTTCTCAATCTTGGCACTTTTGTGACAAGAAGTTATGTACCTTCACTATGATGGTATGATTTCTCTCTGTGTTGCCACAGTGAGTCTTTCTATTGAGCATTTATTTCTCAAGGGCCACCATGGCGCCAAGGCATTGTAGGGGACAACTGATGCTAAATAAAACAATTGATTTAACAAAAATGATTTCAGGAAAATATAAAATAATTGATTTCAGGAGACTCATGAGACTTATGCTTTTAGAGGCTTAAATGTGTTGGGGGGGAAACTTTACACGTCAAAACTCAGATGCCTATAATCAATTATATCTTCACTGCACAAATTGCAAAAAAAAGGGTCTCCAAATACTTGTATATATCCTGCACATTTTTGCATGTATGTGTTATAGAACAATAGCAGGCTTAGTTTTCTTACAACCTTTCTAACTCTTGAGTTATTGCATAGACTCTTTTTCCATATGAGGATAAAGCCTTTTAAATGGAGGGTATCTCATGTATCCCTGTCTTGTATTGTGCTAAGACTTAATTTGCGACTAGTGCTAGCTTATTAAGCAAAGGAACCTCTAAAGGGGAAATATGTGTTAGATATCATGTCCAGAATTTAAACATATACTTTTGTAGGTATGGTTATGATTGATCAGAGGTCGAATCGATCATCAGGAATACATATTGTCATGTCCTTGCCTTTTCACTAATTTTATGCTCAGTGACTCAGCGTGTGTCAATGCCACTTTGAATGGCCTGATTCTTTCCATCTATTAAAGCTTTAGCTTGTGTCTTATATTGGAACTCTGCCAACGCTAGCTGCAGCTCCACCTGATAATTGACTTTGTAATTTCTTAACATTATTTTTGGTCTGCTCTTCCTTTTTTATTATTTTGCTTTGTATAATTGATTTCTCAAAATTTAGTTTGACTGTGACTAAGTTGTTACGTACACTCATGTCAAATTTAAATTAGTACACATTCATTTTATGTATATTAGTTTTTTTAAACTTTTGACTTTCATATAAATGGATTCGTTTTTTACTTTTCCAATATTGCTTGACCTGTAAACCCCAATTTTCCAAGACTTTAGGTCACTTTCGGTGGGAAAAAAAAATTGTATCCCCCCTTTAGTGGGAGCCTTGTGCATTGGGTCGCCCTTCGGTGATTTATTATTATTATCTTTTTATTGAGTTGAGAAATTGGTTCTAAATGATCAGGTTGGTTGAAAATAGACATATGAAATGATATAGAGGGCGTTTTCCCTTTTGTTGGACAAGAGATGCCTTAAAAGCTTGATCTATTAGGAAATGGGCCAAACACTGTGTTAAGCTCTCCAAGGCGCCTCATGTGTGACCTCTTGTATGGGGAGAGAATAATGTTTCCCACGATGTGGATCAGTTTGGTACGTAGAATGAGAGTTTGGAATTTGGTTGACCACATTCTAAAAATTGTAGTACGATACAGGTAGGATTGTATACGTTATAATATCGAACTCCTTCCTGAACTCTTTCATGAAGAAAAAAAGCATACTGACAGTAAAATGTTTCTTTTTCTCACATTGCCCCTTTAAAGCCACACACCCCTTTAGCCCATCGTCTCAAAATTGAAGTCTTTTAAGTTCTTTCTCATTCCTAGAAGAGTCTTTAAGTTATTTACACGTATACTTAAATGATGTGGAGTGTAAATAAGTCATGTGCTCTGAACAATGTTATTGTAGTGCTGATTTGTGCAGATCTTGCAAGGTTCACTAGATGTGTGCTTGAGCAGGCACACACGACTGCTATGTTCTTTACAAAGCGCTCAAGTTGAAAGGCACCTGCAGAGATCCTGTGAGCATTGCTTGCTATCCGCTCAAGCAGCCATGCGATTCTAAAACCTATATGAACCTTGTTTTTTTCAACTAGGGGAACATAAACATGAGATTGAATAGCCCATTGAGTCCTTGAGAGTTTTAAAGAGCTTCAAAACCTTACTCAAGGAGTTTTGATTTGAATTCCATGTTTTTCTTAATATAGAAACATAAATACTTGAGAATCTTCTAAGTTGAGTGCTTTTGCATTAAAACCCACACCCTTGGCTGTTGGTAATGGAGTCGTGGGTGTATGGAGATAGGATCAAGGAGCCTCGTGTTGAGCTATTGGATCAGAAGAGGTTAACTGTGTCAGAGCCACAAAGGAGAGTTTGCGGATGACTTTTAGAGTTAGGTGAATCGAGTACAGAGTTGTAATTCCTAGCTTCTTGAGTCTTGTGACTTTTGATTCAATAATGAATTTTTTTATTGTTGGAATTGTGATTTTTGTCCTTGGGGAGTGTTCTCCTTATGGTTTCCATTCATGTGCATAATTGTTCTTTATATTTTTCATGAATTGCATGATTTTGATCGCTACTGAACATTGAATTTGGACTTAATAATTACTTGGTAAACTAAAATTGGTTAATAGTTTTTTGAGTTTGGCCAATTCACCTCCTCCACCCCCCTCTAGGCACAAACAAGTACCGGCCACATGATTTCAAGATAGTTTAAAGCCTAAGTTGGCATTTAGTTCCTGTGATTGGTGTATGTAATTATAAGTACATAATTTGATTTGACATTTGATAGTTTGCTAGATTAACCTACATCATCAATTCCCGATTGTTTTCATGCAGAATGTGCTACATTGGCATATTGTAGATTCCCAATCTTTCCCTTTGGAGATACCTTCATATCCCAAACTATGGTTCGGGGCTTATTCTATTTCCGAACGATATGCAATGGCTGATGCTGCTGAAATTGTGAGGCAAGTGATCTCTGCCTTGTTAGTGGCTAAATGGAGATATGATCTCTAACTTGTGCTTTCCTGAATTCTTGAATATTGTTCTTTGCAGTTATGCTCAGAGGCGAGGTATTAATGTATTGGCTGAAATTGATGTTCCAGGACATGCTCTCTCCTGGTAGTTATAATTAATGCCTGTACTCATCACGTTTGTTATATACATCTTCCTGTTCCCATGTCAAAGGAAATTCCTTTCCATGATTTAATCGAAGTTGATAATGAAAATCTTTCTTTATCATCTATTGTTAGTTTCTTGTTTTTTGGTTAGGTGTGTGGGGGTGTAAAGAGGCTTCTAGAACGTTTTTATTTCAATTTTCCTCCCTTCATTTATCTTTTCTCAGATCCTATTGCACGCATTAAACTTTATAAAATGTTTTTGTGGATCATAATTATGATGTGCCATGGTGTATGTTTTTTGCAGACGATATTGTGTTAGTGGATGAGACTAGAGAAGGAGTTAACACAAAGTTGGAGATTTGGAGAAAATCTCTTGAATCTAAAGGATTTCGGATAAGCAGAACTAAGACAGAGTATATGGAGTGTAAATTTAGTAACAGTAACAATGAAAGCAGAGGAGAAGTGAAGATTGAGAACTAAGAACTGCCTAAGAGTGAACATTTTCGTTATTTAGGGTCGATTATCACAACAGCGGGAGAGATTGATGCAGATGTGGCCCATAGGATTAAGGCGGGATAGTGTAAGTGGAGAAGTGCGTCTGGGGTATTGTGCGATAAACGAATACCCACTAGACTAAAATGTAAGTTTTATAGAACGGCTATTAGACCAGCTATGTTGTATGGGCCCATATTCAAAAACTCTTTTCAAGAAAGCATGAAATCAAAGAATTTCAAAGTAAGTGACGTGGTCTATACTTGTTTACTTCACATAGTAATATTAGTATATTAAATAATCAGAATATGAGCATATAATGTCCATAAAATTCACATCGTGACTTAATAGAGGATGATCTTTGATCGGATGAGTGGGGTGCTCAATTCATGACATTTTCGTCTCATAACTAAGTTTTCGAGCCGAGACAACTTTGATTATGATGGACAAGTGGCCTTTAGCACGAGTCACGAGTTTTCTAATTCTCCAAAAAATATGACATCTGGCAATGCATTCCATTTTTGGCATCTCTGGTGATTAATGTATTTTCTAAAATTTGTTGGATCTGGACTCTCATTCGTTTTTCTGTTTCACATTGCACTTGTGAAACCAGATTCAGAACCATGGGAGTCCAAACTATAGAGAATTGCATCTAAGAGGAGAAATTTACAATCCTAACTGATTTCTATACCTTGATATGCATAACACAAATTTTGACCCATTGACTGTATTTTGCTAGCCTGTGAAAATGGGAAGGTCTATTCTGGTGGTAAGTGCCTCAAAACCTCATGTATATTGCAACTAAAAATTTGTTTTCTTTTAGCTTTTGTGAGATCGAAAAGCTATTTTTCTTGTCAAATTCTCTTCTAGAAAGGTTTATGAGCACAAAGGATACAGTGGATGGTGGGAAGTTTTAAAACCTTCACAAGTGTTTGACATATCTATCATGTTCAAAATTGGGTTCAGGGACAGCTCCTTCGTGGTTTTGACATGTATTGACCGTTTATTTGAGAGAAAACTAACTTAGAGAATGATTAGACAATCACTCTCTTTTATATTGATAATAGGTAGCTTACAATGGAAACCTTGGAAGTTGGAGGCACAAATAAAGAAATAATAGAATAAAGAAATAATAGCTAATAGAATAAGAAAATCCTAAATCACTAATTAAGGAATCAAAATAAAATAAATAAGGAAACAAATAATAGAATGATCCTAACATATATTCTAACACTCTCCCTCAAGTTGGTGCAAAGATATCTCTCATGCCCAGACTTCACAAATGGAGTACATATTGTGCCACTAGTGAGTTTCTCTTTGATGAAGTGACGATCAATCTCAACATGCTTTATCCTGTCATGTTGAACAAGATTGTGAGTTATGTTGATGGCAACCTTATTATCACAATATAGTCGTATGGAGTCTTTCTGGTCAATTCCCTGATCATACAATAACAACTTGATCCACAAGAACTTATACACACCTTCTGCTATAGCTCTAAACTTAGCTTCTGCATTAGACCTAGCAACCATATTCTGTTTCTTACTTTTCCAAGTAATCAAATTGCCTCCAACAAAAGTACAATATCCTGAAGTGGATCTCCAAGCAATTACTGATCTTGCCCAATCAGCATCCGTAAAAGCTTCCATACTAAGATGATCATGTTTGGAAAAATAAAGACCTTTTCTAGGAGAAGATTTCAAGTATTTCAAAATTCTCATAACTGTAGCCAAGTGTATTTCATGAGGAGTATGCATAAACTAGCTAACTACACTAACGGCAATAGCAATATTAGGACGAGAATGGGCTAAGTAAATAAGCTTACCTACTAGTCTTTGATAACTCCCCCTATCAACGGCTGATCCCCCACTATCATTACAAAGTTTCTGATTAGGTTCTAGTAGTGTGTCACAAGCTTGACTTCCAAGCATCTTTATTTCCTTAAACAAATCAAGGACATATTTTCTCTGACAGATGAAAATCCCATCTTTGGACCTAGCCACTTCAATCCCCAGAAAGTACTTCAGGTTCCTTAAGTCTTTGATTTCAAACTTACTGGCCAAATACTTCTTCAACAAAGGGATTTCCTCAACACCATCTCCTGTAAGCACTATGTCATCCACGTATACAATGAGAGTTGTAGTCTTACCATGAGAGGAATGTTTAACAAACAGAGTATGATTAGCCTGACTCTGTTTGAAGCCATATTTTAGCATCGACTGAGTGAATCTGTCAAACCAAGCCTTAAGGGATTGTTTGAGGCCATATAATTGTGAGAATACGCCTATATTCAATGTTCTCCTTTTTCCTTTTAGGATTAGGAACTAGTGTTCTATGTCTATTAGAATTCTATATCAGTAATGTATTCGTTTAGGATTAGGAATTAGTGTTCTATATAAGTGATGTATTCTTTGTTCGATGAATTCAATCTAATATACAGTTTCATTCAGAAAACTTACATGGCATCAGAGTCAGTAAATAGCAATTGGCTTCTAGGGTTCCGGCGATGGCTCTGATACCATGTAAGTTTTCTGAATGAAACTGTATATTAGATTGAATTAATTGAACAAAGAATACATCACTTATATAGAACACTAATTCCTAATCCTAAACGAATACATTACTGATATAGAATTCTAATAGATATAGAACACTAATTCCTAATCCTAAAAGGAAAAAGGAGAACACTGAATATAGGCATATTCTCACCCCTGCCCAAAATGGTCGAGCTGAGTGTAAACACTGTCATCTTCTTGAGACAGCTAGGTCTCTAATTCTCTTTGCCTCCGTTCCGGCTCCGTTTTGGGGTGAGGCAGTTCTTATTACTGTTTTTCTTCTCAATCGTATGCCTACCCCCCTTCTTTCTTGTCGGTCTCCTTATGAGGCTCTGTTTTCTCAACTTCCTAATTTCTCCCTCCTTCGTGTGTTTGGGTCTACTTGTTTTGTCCTTTTACTCCGTAAAGACAGGACCAAACTTAGTGTCCGAACTGTCCTATGTGTCTTTTTGGTTATAGTTTCACTCAGAAAGGTTATCGTTGTTATGACCCTGTCTCCCGTCGCCTTTATGTCTTCCACAATGTTGCCTTTTTCGAACGTCTTACTTTCAGTTTCCTCCTCTCACCGCCCCAGTTTCCAAAGAGGATTTGGTTTATATCGATCCATTTCCTTCTGAGGTCCCGTCTGAAGAGTACATCTTTACAGTTCCTCTTGCGCTTGTTCCATCTTCTCCTCCTGTTTCACCTCTGGTTGCTTCTCCTCCTCTTCCTCCCTTGTTAGTTTATTCTCGTTGTGAGAATATGCCTATATTCAGTGTTCTCCTTTTTCGTTTTAGGATTAGGAATTAGTGTTCTCTATCTATTAGAATTCTATATCAGTAATGTATTCGTTTAGGATTAGGAATTAGTGTTCTATATAAGTGATGTATTCTTTGTTCAATTAATTCAATCTAATATACAGTTTCATTCAGAAAACTTACAATAATGATTTGGAAGTCGACACACCTTTCCCTTAGTTTGAAGAGTTTCAAAGCCAGGAGGAATATCCATATACACCTCATCTTCTACGTCACCATTCATGACAGTATTTTTCACATCAAATTGTTGAAGTGGTCAGTCCAGATTAGCTGCCAGAGAAAGAAGTACTTTGATTGAATTCATCTTTGCAACATGAGCAAATGTCTCTTAAGTAGCTCACCCCATAGGTCTGAGTGAAACCCTCAGCCACAAGTCGAGCCTTATATCGCTCAATTAAATCATTTGCCTTGTGCTTCACAGTATACACCCATTTGTATCCCACAGTTCGTTTGTCCCTAAGTAACTCAGTCAAATCCCAAGTGCTATTCGTATGAAGTGCTTTCATTTCCTTCACCATGACCAGTTTCCACTCAGGAATAGTAAGAGCATCCTGAAAATGATTAAGTATGCTAACAGAGGAAATTTTTGACACAAAGGTTTTATATGAAGAGGACAAACGAGAATAAGAAACAAAGTTAGAAATGGGATGATGAGTACAAGATCTCATACCTTTTCTCTTGGCAATGGGGATGTCAAGATCAGTAGGCTCAGACTCAGAGGTAGTAATGTCAGGAGTTTCAGAGTTGCCTGGACTTTCATCAAGAGAAGAAGACGTCAATGATTGATCAGAAATGGTCTCTTGTATCCAAGTAACTTTTTGCCTTTCTTTATCCTTGACATAGACTTGCCCTTCTCTGTTCTTGGCAACATCGAATTCTGTATTGTTAGTAATAGATATCATTGGAGGTGATACTGGGCCAGGAACAATAGAAGCAATAATAGGTACCGTTGGTGGCGGTATTGGGTCAAGAATAATAAAAGCAGCAGGACTCTCTTCACTCCAAGACTCCTTTTGAAGAGATGACTGGGACACTGGACGGGACAAGAAGTAGGATTAAGACTCAGAGAAGATGATATCTATGGACACAAACCATTTACGGGAGGGGGGATGATAATACTTGTACCCCTTTTGAGTAGGAGTAACCTAACAACACAC